GCCCAGTGGGGGTTAGAGTCTCGCAAGCCTATCACACCTTGTTCCGCTGTTCACATTTCAGGATGATTCAGATATTCCTTGAAAGAGAAACAAATATGATCTAGGAAGCCTTACAGAAGTTAAGCGTGTGATGCTCAAATCGTCTGCAGAGAAAGATGAAGAGGTGATTTGTTACGTTGTGCAGGTGCTTACTCCTAGGAAAGATACTTGATAGTAAGGGGGATGCTCGGTTTTGCAGACAAAACCATAATAATTTCTGATAGCTGAGTAGCGGGAGGTAATTTTGAGCTAAGATGCTATTTCCCAGCAGCGAGGGGGTATTTAGTTGCCGAGAGTGTTTTCCAGATGTGGCAGCCTGAGTATCACCTGCCATTGCCAGGATGAGACCAGGCGGCTTCATAAAATGTATATTGTATTCAGGCTCCTGGGAAACTTTCTAGAGCCTGTGACTGTTTGATCTCAGGCTGAATTACCCTTAATGACCCCTCTGACCATACACTCCACAAATACTTCCATATGGTTGAATTTCATCCATATCGAATTCTGTGCTCCATAACTGTGGCTTCCATGTAGGCACCAGGGAAAGGCTTCCATGTGTTTGCTGTTAGAACATACAGTTTTATCAAAATCAAAGTGTTTGACAAAATTATATAGATTTGGGGGTTTAACATGGTAGGAAAAACCTGCTGCAAGGTGAGGCTGAGGGCTGGCCGGTGGCTGGCTGGAAACAAAAAAAAAGAAAGAGCTGGAGCTGCAGGAGGAAATCTGGGGCTGGGAGCCTGTGCATTAGGGAAAATGGTCCTCTTGTTGTCAGGACACTTGCAAAAGAGGTGAGTGATGAAAAGCAAATAAAACATTATGTAAGGGAAAGCAAAGGAGGACAAGGAGAGCGCTTGCATCAAGCAGCAAAAAGTTGACCATGTTGGTCTTTGCCTTGGAAGTGAAATCTTGTTCATCTGTGGGAAGTGAATGAAATCCCACTAGTTCAATTCTGGAGTCCTGCCTGCGGCAGGGCAGTCAGTCCATTTTCCCTGGGAGTTTGTAGTTTGGGAGATTTGATTACAATTGCTTGTGTGATGCAGCTTTTCTGCTGGATCCTTGTGCTGCTCTGCTCACAGGACACCCGGAGTGGTTGAGCCGAAGGACCAGCAATAGAGTATGCCAAGAGCTCCTCATTCCCACTGGAAGCAGTGTTATTTATTAATGTTATTAATTGATTGGAACAGGCTACCCAGGGAAGTGGTGAATTACCCATCCCTACAGGAATTTAATTATGTGTAGATGAGGCACTGAGAGACATGGTTTAGTGGTGGATTTGGCACTGCTGGGTTAACGGTTGGACTTGATCTTAAAGGTCTTTTCCCACCTAATTGATTCCATGATTATCATATTTCTCATCTATTGTTATCAGTGACACTAATTAAATCAGTGTACTAAACACTGAGTGTGCATTTCACCCCCTCACTGCCTGGTGATGGATGGAGGGAAGAGGCTGAACTAAATCCTATCCCAATCCTGACACAGTCTGAGCTCCAGGAGACCTTTTTAAGTTGCTTTACTTTGTAGTGGCCACCCAGGCACCCCCATGGCATCCCAGCAGGCTCCAGCCATGTCCTCTGTGTCTAGTGACAAGTTTAAGGCAAATAAAAATCACCAGGATAAACAGCATTAGGTGTCAGGTGTGAGAAATCCCTCTCTGGTACCGCTTCAGTAGCACCAGGACATGAGCAAATCTCTCTTTTTCTCCCTTCAAAGGCATAGAACCTCAAATAAGCAGTTTAATGCGGTTGGAAATCTCACATTGTAGCATTTCCTTAATCTGGAAGATATTTTCGCAGTTCCAAATGGATATTGCATCAGCCAATTGTGTGTATTTACTTGTGGGAAGAACTGTTTTGAGTTGTTTGATTGCTTGAGTAGACTTTGTGTCACTACATTCGCTCGTGAAGAATAGAGAGAGACGCGGCTCAGATGCAGGCAGATATTTTTGAACCACCACAGACTGAATAAAGCCACTGCTTATGCCCCATGCCCCTGATACCCGCTCTCAGATGGAGTTCCATGTTTCAGAGAGAATGATCCCTCACCAGCTGTCTGTAGGAAGCAGAATTATGCTCATTCTCTGTACACATGAAGAAGAAGAGTGAGAATTCCTCTCAGTGTTTTGTCTATTGCCAAGCTGAAATGTTGATGATATTTAGCTTGGGATGGGACGGGGGAGTGGGAGAGACTGGTGCCAACAACACCCCATTTCAGTGCATGGGGACCCCATGTCGTGTTGTAGCTGGAGTGGGGTGGACACGACAGTGGTGGGTGTTCACCAGCTCCTTTAGAATGGAAGAGACTTCTGCAGGAGGACGCTCAGTAGCAGGTTCATGTCCAGAATCTGCAAAGACACACAATTAATGATTGATTCCTTTACATAGAATTAACTCTTTTGAATGTGTCTGTTCCTAAAATGGTCTGCAGTGACTGCAGGCACCTCCAGGTCACCAGGTGAGGTAGGGAGGAGTGGATTGCCACCTTTGTGAGTTGGACTATGCTAAATTCAGTGCTAGATTTCTGCTCGAGTGTAATCCTGCTTGAGCTTCAAAGGGTGATACTGAGCTTCAAAGGGTGATACTGACCTTCATCGCTTTAGGAACTGGGCAGGTTCAGGCTTCCCCAGACCATTGTTTTCCCTAAAGATGATGTTCCTCTGCTAATTAAAACTACTTTTCACAGTCTTTGTTTCTTTGCTCACAAATGTACAGCCACAAACAAGCACTGGGAATTCCCAGCTTTTTTAAGTCTGTCTGACCCCAACTCATTTCTACAACTGAAATAGTTCCAGCTGATGTACCAGGGAAAGGGCTGGAGAACATCTGCAGGGGATCCCAAAGCACACAAAACCAGGCTCTGCGTGTGACAAAATAGTTTCAAAGTACCTTGAGGGGATGCTAGCAACATATTCCAGGTTGCAGAGGTGAATGTGTGGGATCAGATGGTGGGATTTTGCTGTGGGAAATGGAGCAAACCAGCGGGACAAGGCTGGGGCATTCAGGAGAGTAAAGCTCCAGCTGGACAGAGGCTTTGGATAGGAAAGTGAAAGATCATAAACATTTTTTTGTCCTCATTTTGTGGGTACCCATTTACCTTGTGGAGCACTTGGACTTTAAAGCAGTCGCTGCAGAAGGTTCTGAAACCTTCTGTAGGTTCCCACATTTAGGAACTGTACCTTTTACAGCTGTTTGTGTAAAATCTGTCCTTTATGTTGTAGAGAATAGTGCTTTTCAGAAACACCAATAGGGTGTGCCTATCCCAAACGTAACACCAAGACATGTAAAGAAGTACATATTTCTTTAGAAAGAAAGATTCGTATGAAACCCTGAATTCCTGCCTTCATTGCTGGCACCCTGAGTCCTTTTAATCCCCTTGTAACATTTCGACAAGTAGAGCAGTCCCTTAAGGGTACTCCATTTTTTCCACCCTTTTCCATCCACATGGAACTCTTTTCTCTTATGCCCAGATTTATAAATGGTGCAGAAAATGGAGTTCAGTGAAGGATCCTGCTGATGGAAGACAAGCAGAAAATCTAGCTTGTACTTTCTTTGCCATGTTGCTGCTGCAAGCTTAAAAGAATACAAAGCAGCAGAAATGAGTGTATTGTAGTGTTCCCAGTGAAGAGCTGTGACTCTCCAAGAACACAGGGAGTGGATGTGACAGGCATCACTATTCTTAAAAGTACAAGAGAAAACTAATCCCATCTTCTTTCCAAGCCGCGACAGGCGAGCTCAGCCTTCTCTGAAACAAGAGCATCCAGCAGCAGCACTTCCCTGGGAACTCGGTAGCAATACCTGCTTGGCACCAACAGAGGAATTGCTGCTTTCTTACTTGAGGCATTTTGGATCCATGTCTGAGCTGCTGCACACATGACAAAAACAGCTCTGGTTGCACCTGAACAAGGATTTTGCATGGTTATGTTTCAAGAACTGCGCGTGCTTTTGGGAGTGTGGGTATCCCAGCTCTCCTCAGCTGTCCATGCTCTGCTGGGCTGTGCCAGTTCAGCAGCTTCCCATTACAACATTCTCCTTGTTTCCTTCCAGTTTCTCCCAAGATATTCCGTATTTCGAGTGACATCGTTGTGAACGAAGGGAGCAACGTTACCCTGGTGTGCCTGGCCACGGGGAAGCCAGAGCCTTCCATTTCCTGGAGACACATCTCGCCGTCAGGTAAGCTCAGCTTTCTGTACCCCAGAGCTCGCAGCATCTCTCCAGCAGCAGGTTTGGGGTGCTCAGCTTTCGGAAGTGTGGCAGCATCGCTCTGTGCACCTGGGGCAGTGTGTGCCTCCCTTGGCTTTCAGACACTGAAACCTTCTTCAGGTGGCAGCTGAGGTCAGTGAAAACTGTAATGCTCCTATAGCCCAGGGACAGAGAAAGAGACGAGCCCTGAGGCAGAAGCTCTTCCCTGTGCGGGTGCTGAGGCGCTGGCACAGGGTGCCCAGAGAAGCTGTGGCTGCCCCATCCCTGGCAGTGTTCAAGGCCAGGTTGGACACAGGGGCTTGGAGCAACCTGCTCTAGTGGAAGGTGTCCCTGCCCGGGGCAGGGGTTGGAGCTGGAGGAGCTTTAAGCTCCCTTCAACCCAAACCAGGCTGGGGTTCTACAGTTCTATGAAACAAAGGGACCCTGAATATGATTATATTTTTAAGCCAGTTTTAACAGGCTGCAGACATTTATCAAACAATTCCCATTAAATCCAAAGCAGGAAATAGTCAAGAACACACAGGGCTCTCCAGAAATAGGCATGAAAGTTAAAAACATTAACTCATCATGTAGTGGATTTAATTTAATGTAAGTACCTCTGAACCACTATTCCATGATACAGCGTGGTTTATTAGAGTGGTTTTATTGAACAAATTAAATTATATGTATGAAAAATCACGAACAAAATGGCACCTAAAAGCAGAGGTTTTATTTAATATTCCCATTTATACTTTTAATTTCTCATAATGTATTTAAAGGCAAACTTTTAGCTAACATTAAAGGCATCTCTTCACCGATGACTTGGTGCAGAGCCACCAACGCTGGCTCCATGTGAATAAAGCAGGGTCTGCCTGGCTCAGAGGAGGGGAGATCCAGCCCTGAGCTACTGGCTTGGGAATCCTGGAGGTCTTTGTGTTTGTGAAGGGTGCTTCCTGACTCCAGCTGGCTGCAGTGTGTGAGCCTGGTATCGCACCAGTTCTTCTGTAGGGGCTCCACAGTGGTGATTGATTTTGCAGTGAAGGTCTTTGTGTTGTGCCCACAACTCTCATGAAATCCATGTAATTGCGGGGAAGAACAGCTTCATGGACTGTCAGGGCTTACTGCGGGGTCTCATAATCCTGAGTAATAGTTTGCTTTACAAAGCAAGATCTGGGGAGAAGAAACCCAAAACAACTTTTGACCTTTAAGACAATGACTGTGAATTCTGCTTGAAGTGTCCATCAGGGGACATGGGGAAAAAAGTTCACTTGGAGCAGAAAATGGATTTTAACTAAATGTCAAATAAAATTTTATTGGAAACCGAGGTGATACTTTAGAGTAATAGCTTAAAGCATTAGGTTGTCTACAGAAAGAAGCTGTTACAAGCCTCCTGGAGAGATAAAAAAGCAGAGAAGGATTAGAGCACTCAGGCTGTAGAAGGGGTCTAAGGAGGAATTAGACCCTCCTCATCTTAAGTTCAGACAAAATTAGTGCATGTAACCACAAGGGCTTTTAGTGAATTCACTGATTGTGTATCTTCACCAATGGGCTGAGAATAAGGACTGAGAGGAAAAATGGGATCACTCAGCAGCTGATCGATTACATTAGCCCCAGTGAGACCTGAAAATGAAATGTGAGGAAGACACTCATCAAAGATGTGTATCAAAAGGACTGTAGGGACTGGACAAGGGGAATGGCTTTAACCTGCCAGAGGGGAGACTGAGATGAGCTCTGAGGCAGAAGCTCTTCCCTGTGAGGGTGCTGAGGCGCTGGCACAGGGTGCCCAGAGAAGCTGTGGCTGCCCCATCCCTGGCAGTGTTCAAGGCCAGGTTGGACACAGGGGCTTGGAGCAACCTGCTCTAGTGGAAGGTGTCCCTGCCCGGGGCAGGGGTTGGAGCTGGAGGAGCTTTAATGTCCCTTCAACACAAAGCAGGCTGGGATTCTATGTATGCCTAACAGCATTCCTTTGTTCTCCAAACCCCTAAACCCACTTTGTCCATCTCCAAGCCTGCATTTCTTTGTCTGCTCATGGGCGAGCTGTTCTCCGCTATAATGGATTAGCTGGGTCTGTCCGGTCCGTTGGAGGAAATGTTGTCCTAGCTGAGCCTGGCAGAACAAAGGGCAGGAAGGGCAAGGCCAGGCTAAGAAGCTCTGTCAAGCCTCAGTGCTGAGGCCTGGAAAACTCATTGCAACTCTGCATTATGGGGCTGTACCATTACAAAACCCACATCTCCCAAAGCAGTGTGTCCAATGCAGCTGCTGCAGGGCACTAGGACGTGCCCTGGGTGTCCCCTGCTTGACTAATGGCCTGAACTCTGTCCAGAGCAGGAGAACACTGGATCCAAATACCTTTTTGCTCAAAAAATCCTGTAAAATGTGACGGAAGGAAACATAATTTACAGAATCTGTTCTGTCTTCTAAATAAAGAGGAACTTTCCCATTTGGGTCATGCTGCACCACTGTCGTGCTCAGGTGTATATTCTGCTGTGCAGACAGTTATAAATGGCATTCAAATCCAATTAAATATCAGCATGGCAAACAAGAAGCCTGGATTTATTAGAAAACAAAATGCAAGAGAGTTGAAATGGCCCGATTTCTGTGACGATTTATATTCTGTCTGCAGCAAATTACCTTCATCTAAACACCAGCTTCATCTGCACTTGATAATTTCTCCCAGTTTCCTCCTGTCACTCCCAGCGGCACTAATGAGGGTTACATGCAAGCATCACATCTAGAACGCACCACTAAATCATATTAACGAATCGCAGTTAGAATACTCTGAAACTGTTTGTCAAAGCTGCTACTAAAAGATAAGAAACTGAAATCTCTGAATACAAATGATTCAGTGTCGACTGATTCCAAAGCATTATCATGATTTGCATCAGTGCAGCCTTTACGTGCACAAGGTTAGACTGGATTTTTTTGAACAAGAGAAGGTCCCTTCCAACCCAAACTGTGATTCTATGATAAAATGATCTTTTTCGTAGGAATAAAAACAGAAGGTATTTAGAGGTGATTTTTAACTGGGTACATAAATTATTGGCCTGGAGTCTTTATTGTGCATGTTTAACTTGCAGTCATTATGTAAATGCTTTCATTATATAAATATTCATTCTATAAACCCATTATGTAAATCCACAAAATCTACACATTCAGCACAACACCGTCAGGAACGCGGAGCTATAGTTTGTAATCTGAAGTCTTCCATTGTTGAAATGTCACCCGAATAAATTGCAGGTATTACTTATTTTGTTCTGACATTTAAGAGCAAAGTGCAGCATCAATAGTTTAAGAATGAAACCAGAATTTTAAAGGATTAAGGTCTGCCTGAAAGAGAGCTCCAGCCTCGAATGCCTCTGTGTGCATGCAGCGCGTGTGTGTGTGCTGGGTGATGCTGGAACGTGAGCGCTGCCAGGAACAGGGACAACAAAAGCCATTCAGAAAGCTTTTGGTAACATCACTGCTCTGTAAACCTGGGCTGTATGTCAGAACTCTTTTCCACTTTGGTTTTGATAAAACTGCCAGAAGCTGAGTTGTCCCATCCACAGAGGGACCAGACACTCAGGTGACGGCCAGCTCAGACCGCTAAGCCGGGCAGGGGCCAGCAGCAGAAGCACCCACCACGTGTGGAAAGCGTGAACTGTCCTGGGTTTATCTGAACGCAAAACAGGTTAAATTCCATCCTTCACAAAGTCCAGTGAAAAAAAGCAACATTTTTTTCTACCCAACTCCCTTAAAACAAAATGTCACTTGTAATCATAGAATAGTTTGAGTTGGAAAGGAATCCAGCTCCAACCCCTGCCCCGGGCAGGGACACCTTCCACTGGAGCAGGTTGCTCCAAGCCCCTGTGTCCAACCTGGCCTTGAACACTGCCAGGGATGGGGCAGCCACAGCTTCTCTGGGCACCCTGTGCCAGCGCCTCAGCACCCTCACAGGGAAGAGCTTCTGCCTTAGATCTAACTTAAATCTCCCCTGTTTCAGTTTAAACCCACCACCCCTTGTCCTATCGCTACAGTCCCTGGTGAAGAGTCCCTTTCTGGCATCCTTGTAGCCCCCTTCAGATACTGGAAGCTGCTCTGAGGCCTCCACGCAGCTTCTCTTCTCCAGGTTGTCTTCGTATGGGAGGTGCTCCAATTCCTGATCATCCTCGTGGCCTCCTCTGGTCTTGCTCCAGCAGCTCCATGTCCTGCTAACACCAGAACTGCACATAGTACTCCAAGTACTGTAATATATAATAATACTCCAATCACCTCTTGGAACTAGATGAACTTTAAGGTCCTTCCCAAGCCAAATAATTCTGGGATTCTGTGATTGCTTCAGTCTTGTTTCCAGGGAATGGTGACACTGAAGAGTTTCCAAAATAACCCATCAGACACCCCCCAAAACCCCTGTAAGAACCGTTCAGCACATGCTAAATAACAGATTTTTCACTAATGGGGAAAGCTACACTCATCCAGGCACGAGCCTGGCTTTAGGTTTGAACACATTTACGTGATGACTCCCCTCCTTGAACACATTTCATTTGCTGCTAGGGCATGTGTGCAGGAGTGTGATATGACTGAACGGAATCTAATGCCCATCCTATTGTTTCTGGACAGCCCTAAAGCTGTGAAGATGTATTGCATTAATGTATCATCATAGCCATGTCGTCCTGACAATATATTAGTGTAATACATCTTCAGAGCACTCAAATGATAGGGCTGTCGGGGAAAAATGAGTCTCGGAGCCCATTCAATTCAATTACAGGACAAAAGGCAATGCTCAGCCCTGAGCAGAGGCGATTCCTGCTCAACCCTTCCTCTGGAGCACATGGCTACAGAAAGCTGATACTGCAAAGGGAGAAGCAAAGAGCCTTTTGTAACCTTCTTGCTAAACCCTAAGACACAAACAAAGCTTGATATGAGCAAGTGAACGTCAAATATTTTGCTCCACTTGCACTTCTGCTCGAGAAGCACCGTTCTTCAGATGTTATCCACACATGACAGGAATA